TGTTTCACATTCCTTTCCTCATCATTTCTCCATGTGAAGGTTATTAATGAAAAACTATATTTTTGCAGTAAAAGTGAGGCTGAGTTCCTGCTGATTTTGTTTTATTATTTCTCATCTTTTGGATAAAGATTGAGGGACGGTGGAGCTTATAGTAATGAGGTTTTTAGGCGAATTCATGAGAAACGAAGATGTTGGGTTGACCTGTGTAACTGATATGGGTATTCCGTTTGCGTGGCTGGATTTTCGCTCGGCTGCTTGTTTGGCTAGGGCGTTTGCTACTGAAATGATCGTTATATTGTAGGTCATTTCTGAATTCGATGTTAAAAGCTGAGAACACTTTATATACATATTTCTCTGTAATACCTCTCCTGACGATCTGCTCAATCTTTTATTACTTTTTCATTAGTTTTGTACATTAAATAATTCTTCAAATTTTCCATTTTTGTTTCTGTTCGTGTAAAACGCAAAAGGGTTTCCCAGGGAAACGTGACAGAATTTTTTGTTTGACGAATATTGTTTCATTTCGGACTTTTTTCTTTCAAGATGCTTTATTTACGGGTAATTAGAAGTTGTAATTTATTAATTTTTTTGTCTGTAAGTTTGCCGACGTTTTGAGTGACTGGCGTCTGGAACGTGTGATATGTGCCTGTTTTTTAGTTGCTGGAGTAATAGACTTGTTTTTTTTTACTTTCAGCTGCAATTATAGTTAATTTTGGTACTAGTTTATAATAACTTTCATATTATTTTTTTATTTTTTGCTTTTTATGCTTAGGGGACAGTCTAGTCAGAAATCTGGGAACTTGACCACGATTGTGTTTTTCATTTTCTTGTGGCATTTATCTATCCATTTGCTTGCTGCATGTTTATAAAACTTATTGAATTTGCTTCGCAAGAACATAGTTCTGGAAGTAGAGTTGATCTGTAAAATGTTATTGTTCTTACGGGTTCATCCTGACTTCACTCCAAACGTCATGTTAGAATTGTTTCATTAGACCCTTTATGGTAATTGCTTATGGGTTAACCTAATTTTTCATTCTTTAAGATTGGTTTAGTTTGTTCGAGGTTGTTATTGCTGGTGCTGGTGTTTAAGAGGAGAAACCTATCAAATTATTCCTATTTTGAAACTGTTTCTTGAATTGAGCGAGTTAAAGTTGCTAGTGTTTTTGAATGGCTTCGTTTTGATGCAATTATGTGGTATTACAATATTTTTTACTTTATTTTTTTATTTTCAAATTTCATTCAAATGAGTGCAAGTTGGCTGTATATAATGGTGCTCTTGAGTTGCTTGTCTTGCCTTTGAAACTTATTTGTAAAATTTGTACTTTGTTTCGGCGATGCACCGTTTATCACCATTCGAAATATGTTATAAAATTTAACAGTTTTTGTTGTTCGGCTCTTTCACATTGTGGTGTTGATTGATGAGTTTACGAATAATTTTGTGGCATGTTTTTTTTTTTTTTTTTTTTTTTTTTTTTTTTTTT